CTTCGTTCCTTTTCCGCGAACTCGAACGAGGATCCGGAGAATGAAAACGTCACGGCTGCGACACCGGGCGACAAGGTGGACCTAATTAAGACGGTGAATTCGTTCTCGATGCTAATCACCGCAGCCGTGTATATTTTAAGCGTTCATTAAACGCTTCATTGTACCGAGCCGCCGAGCGTGGCTGGGACTTTTAAAGGGATTACGGGACGTCAAAGTTACACGGTGACCAAGAACGGAAGAGGTTTCCAGCACCGGGTCGCTCGTTCGTTCCGCGTTCTGCATCGTTGAAGAACGTTTTAACCATTTCGACATGGATGCTGCCTTCCTCGAGATTCCACGACCGGCCATCTTTGTTTCATTCCGGACGATCGAACGATAATTGCAACATGAAACAGTGTATCTCTTCGAGTGTCTTTAGAATTTCAAGATAAACCAGAGTGTAATCAAAATTGCGAAATATTTTTATTCTTGCAATTTATTACGAGCGAAATTCGAGAAGCTAGAGAGCGTTATAAATTATTTATGAGGAAAGAAGATGCAATTCCATCGATCGTAGGTGTTGGTCAAGGCGAGCACGATTTCTGCATAACGATTCGCAATCAAAGGCAGAACAAATTATTATTGCATTCCACGTTCGAACGCAATCGTCCGCGATTCGACGATCGATAAATACGATTATTACAGAATTTATCAGAATGTTTCCATGCTCGATCGAATAATCGGCGAACTGCTAATTCCGCGGACAACGAAAATCATATCACGATATTCTATTAGCAGGACGCTTTTCGAATTCGCCGAATGCACACTGTGTCGAGGGCAATTAAAAATTAATGAACCCCTGGATGCGGTACGAAATATGTGTCCGAAGCATTCATTCATTTATTTAACGATTTAAACTTCTGATAATGAACGACCAAACGGAACCATACGTCTATTAATGAAACACTTTCTAATCTTCTAAATGTATCATAAGAGTAAAACAAGAATACTTTCAATATTTAAAATACTATAATTGATTCGTGTGAGCTGATTACTATTTATTAATCTATAAAATCTAACAAATTTCCAAATGAAGAGATCAATGAAATATTAACGAAATGTTTCAAGTATCGTTCACTGATTCGCGTTCATAATAAATGTAACACGACGTGATCGATTCGAAAATCTACCGATTGACAAGCGTTAAACCGTTTCAGGTTATTTCGTGAACGTCGGTTATCCCGTTTCATGGTGGACGGCATTTTGCCATAGGATTAACTCACCGTTGCATCCGTCAGTCATGAAAACAACAACCGTGCACAACCTGTTTCGTACCGAATGCACTCGGTTCAATGGTTTCACTCGCGACACGTGTTCGACGAAACGCAACGAACAAACCCGTCCATTTTGTCGGGTTCATTCTCTCGGATGATTTCACCTGATCGTCGACGAAAGAAACGTGATTCGCTTGTCTACGAAATAAACGGAAATAAAAGCGTGTACCACGGGAACCCAAACTGAACGATTTACTCGTCACCCAATTTGTATTCACACCTCTTCTTTTCATCAACCACAACGTTCTTTGATTTATTCAATGACACAGCAATTTGATAAAACAATTTCAAGATGCTTGGAAAAGAATGGAGAACAGAAAGATTCTATTTTTAATTATAAAAGAATTAATAAACTTAAAATTTTTAGAAAGATTGATGAAGAAAAGGTAATAGAAATGTGTAATTTCTAATGAAAACAGAAGGATTCAATTTTTAATTATAAAAGAATTAATAAACTTAAAATTTGTAGAAAGGTTGATGAAAAAAAGGTAATAGAAATGTGTAATTTCTAATGAAAACAGAAGGATTCAATTTTTAATTATAAAAGAATTAATAAACTTAAAATTTGTAGAAAGGTTGATGAAAAAAAGGTAATGAATGTATAATTTCTAATTAGCCCCGAACGCGGACCATGGAGAGAGCATGAATTTAAAAAACCGAAACAAACAAGCTGATGAAAAATAAACAAAATTCTATCAATTGAACAACTCACTTAGAAGCGAATAAAAAGTTTCTCCTGTCATCTGCGTGAATTCAATGTTGCGACGAGTTGCAATTTTGTTGAAAACGGAACGATACGAAACAAGAGACGTGGAGTCGAACAAATAATCTGTAAGTTACAGCCCAGGTTCTCGCGAGTGAAAAACACGCGCCAATTTCCACGTGCTGCAATCGTGGCGAGCTGTAACACGCCGCGTTGACTTTGAAAAGCAAAAGCAACTCGACGAAACAACGCTCGACGCGGAAATAAACCCCCATTTTCGATGGAACAGGCGGGCCAGCGGTGCTTTTTAACAAACTTCAACCGCCCTGCTGGCAGATATTTCTGCGAATGAAATGTTTTATTTGATCAACGCTTCTCGTGCGATCGCGAAAAGTTTAACAAACATTTCGCGTTTTGTTGCTTCAAAAATTTTGTACAACGATAAAAACAGAATTAACTAACATAAAGGACAAACGAGCTTGGATAATTGAACTTTGGAAAGCTTGAAAAATTGATTCTTCAACTCGTCAAAATTGACCCCGTATATTTACGACGTTGGTTGGTCATTCGGGGAACACTCTAGGAGCAAATAAACGTGCACACTCATGTTCGAACAATTTCAGAAGTTGGTCATCGAACGGCTCTCGAGGATGGGGTTGATATGAAACGGGGGTTGGCTAAAACTTTCATTCTTTTATAGGGGCTTTGCCTCGTAATTTAACGGCGTGTATTCAAATGCTCGACGCAATAAATCTTCTTGCCTTTCGTTTATTAACGGGGCATCCATTATACGCGGTATTTCGGTGACCTTAATAATTCTTTCAATTTCATTCATCGAATGAAGTTGCGCTACTCTGCTTTCCGATACGATTTCATGACATAAAAGTATCGTGAAACAGCACTTATGATATATCAATTTAAAAGTTGAAGTTTGAAGATGAAAACTACATGCGGCCGATCATTCGTTGAAACATAAAACGAAAAAATATTTCATTCCATTTATTTCCAAATAAGTGACGAATTCGAACCACGTTTAAGAAAATCGAATTTCACGCGAAGATCAGTGGAAGGTCGAAATTTTTGTAAATTCTGTGCGGAGAACACGAGTCGAAATTCGATCACGGATCGATCGGTGCAGGTTCTCTAAAATCTCGCGAAAAAAAAAAAAAAAGAAGAACGGAGGGAAATAGAGGGGAACAAATCGAATCTATGTTCGCGAAGTAGCGACGCAGAGATACAGCGAGACACCGCCTAACAATACGCTCTACGCCCCATTGAAAGGATTTTCACGACACCCTAAAGTGGCCGTTGAAATCTCGTTAGGGGGCGAAAATGCTAGTCTGGAAAACGCGTCACCCGAAAAGCCACTCGTTCCACGTTTTTCCTCCTTCGTCTCCCTCGCTAATTTACACCCCCTACTCGTCGTCGCCTTTTGGTGCATCCATCGACAGGGAGACAATATTGTAATCGTTATAAGAGAAAAGGTATTGAAGATAAAAATAAAATTCAAAGAGAAAATGAAAATTTTCAAACACCCTTATATTCGAATAAATATCACGATAATCAAGCATTATCGTTTACCACGTGTTATCAGGAAAGGTCGTTCGTATTCTATTTACATCTCGTATAAATCAAGCGAGTGGCTTTCCGCGCGTATACGTGGCCAAACACAGTATCAGTTAATAACATAGTAGAATAGAACGCATTGGTCAACATTAGATACACACGACTCTCGTGTTCCCATCGACAATAGCTGCGAACCTTACGCTGGAACTGGTCGTTGTTCCATGAAAACGGTATTGTGTTATGGTTTCCAAATAAATCGCGGCATCGCTGGCGAACGGTAATGCTACCACTATGGCGTCGAATCAATTGGAATGGTAATTTAGTGCCGATGTTACTCGGATTATACGGATCGAATAGCATTTTGGATTTCTATCCCTGTGCACCGACCGGCCTATACAGAATGTTCGATAAAGTTGAAACTAATCTTCTACTTATTCAACAAAAAGAATCTTAATAAACATGGGTAGAAAAATTATTAATTACAGAAGAGATAAAAATTCTCTCATGTATAATCTCTATAGTTTGAAATTATATTATTTCATTTTAAAAATGTATTACACGAAGCTTGACCTTAATTTTCTTAAACATTCTGTATACCATTGTACGCGTACTCGCGAATTTATACAAACAAAATTCTTGGTCCTTTAATTCTTCCCGAGGCAAAAACTTTCTCGTTAAGCAGCCTTAATAGGACCGTGTCTTACGCCAGCACCACGCAAACAGTTAACACGTGCCCTCCCTTTAAACTTCTAGCGAACTTTTCGTCGCTAAAACAATTTAGCCGAAGAGGTTAAGGCGAGCGGATAAACCTAGCCGAACTTCACGACGCCATAGTTTTGCTACTGTGGCTGGTAATACCTTTCACGCTTCGATCGTTTGATAACAAGTACGATCTTTCTCTAATTAATGGAAGTACCAAATAAGGACATAGAAATTTTGTCGCTTATCATACACGGTACGAGAATGAAAAATGCTTAATAAATATCTTTTGATATACTGGGAAAGTATTTCGTAATTCGTCACGATAAACGCCAATGTCAGATTCCAAGGGTCACGTGACACAAACAAGCACGCTATACGAACGAAGTACATTCGACCGCTTCCGTTGACGCAGGAAAGTTAACGTTCGCTCGAATTACCTACGATTTGTCTCGATTTAGAGCAATCATGCACTGCCGGACGTAATTTGTCTCCGTATTTCACCTCCACGTGCGATTTGACGCGGCCACGTAACGAACGAAAACACGGTAATTTGGACTTTTTGTTGCGACGAAATATCGATACGTGACAGAGTGTAAAATTCCGGAGAAAAATATTTAACACGCGACCAGAGTCAATGTACTACAAAGGTCAACATTTCTCGCGTAATGGAGGAGCAAGATTATCGTAAGTGACAAGATGACAGTTAAAAAACTTACCGAATTGTTGATCGCCAGAGTCCACACCGAGACACCACCCGCACAAGTTGTTGTATCTTCGTTGAAGTACCCAAGATTTCACTTAATTCATGACCACTAACCGAAAACGATGTGCGTTCGCTCGCATCTAAAATGCAACTTGAACCTTAGCCCGCGCTTTAGTGACTGGCGTGGGGCTAAGAGTGGGGAGACGCTTCGCCGAGCAGCCATGTATACAAAATGGCCGCCAGATGGCTGACGTGACCGAGCAACCTGTTCTAAAGATCACATGAAAGTCGTACTCTGTAATAACGGCATCGTACCCATGTAGAATATTGTAGAGATCGACTGTATCATAAATACTAAGCGTTGAAAGCAAATTCCTTCATACTTACCAATTTGTTTAGCTGCTTCAAATAATTGCGACGAAATACATTTGACACGATAGAAATAATAAAACTAACGCGCAATTTCACGTGGTCGAAAATTCCTCTGAAAACGAAAACGATATTCTTTACATCATTCGGTGATGAAGTCTGAATTTATGTCCTTATATACTCACTTTGCCATTTGATACTACTGCAGCTCTGTTCTGACACCATTTTCTTGTAATAATAAAATGTTTTACCAGCTTCTGTACAGTGCGAAACGTTCAAACTGCTTCTACGCAGAAAGCAATATTCCACTGCATTAGTTTCCCTGGCCACCGTCAGGTGGCGCAGATAGTACTATTTTCAGTGGGCATGATATATGGCGTATAAAAATATTACTAGGATAATATTTTAAATAATGAATAATGAATTGCTTTATTATACAATCATCTGCAACGTTTTCTAGTTAAAAGAAAAGTGACGGGAAGGTGTGTTTAAGTTACACCTTTCTCCTTAGTGCTGATTGAGCTCTCTCTGATTCCCCTAGATTGTCGCAAGGCAGGTAATGAAAAACTACTTTCACTACGTTTATTCTTAACCAAAAGAAACTTACGTTAATTCGCATTACAAGCGTATTAATTCAATGTATAAAGAACACGGTTTACCTTTAAATTTGCCGCTAAACTTGACAAATATTAGAAGCTCTCGTAAGATGGCGACCATATTGGCGATCAGCGCGCCTTCCCACTTGCCATACGATCATCGGTACGGCAAGAGGCAGGGCGGGGTATTACTGACGTCACTTTCGGCAATGTCCGTCGACATTCGAGTGGCCCGATCTAGCCCGAACGGGTCAATGTCTGAGGAGGCTTCGAAAAATTCGTAGCTGGTGTGGTGTTCGTGTGCACGGCGAGGAAGAGAAAACGTCGTTGATCGTCAAGGATTGATTTTGCCGCGTAAGCTCGCGCCATTATCTCTTTCCCGCCGCCAGGCTCGAGGCGTCGTTTAGTTGTATAGTAGTTTCACGATCAACGAAAGCAGAGGCGAACAACGACGGTGACGACGACCTCCCCTTAAGCAACGTCGACACGGACGACGACGAAGACGTCCACGTCGGCGTCAGCAGAAGTTCGCGATTCCTTTTCTGCCTAGTTATAACCCAGATCGTGAGCAAGCGTGTAAAAGCTCGGGAAGTCGATAAAGTCGGGCCTGACAAGTGAAGAAGCGCAGGAAAGAGTGACGAGCAGTGACAAGATTCAAAGTATATCGAAGAAGATAGAGCAAGTGAGAAAGAGCGGTAGTAGAGGAGGTGAGGCAGTAGCGCTTCCCCCGCACGCTGCAAAAGTACGGTTGCAGAAGTGAGAGAAGAAAGAAAAGAGTATAAGAGAGAGAGAGGAAGAAAAGCGGGAGAGTAAGTGAGACAGAGCGACATAATTGACGACTACGCCGTTAGGCCGAAAAAGAAAAGAGACAAGAGGAGAAGTACGATGTAACACCGACGATCGTTCGAGGTATTATCGAAAAAAAAGTATAAATTCGTCGTGTTGGCGATCTCGCTGAAGCTAAGGCAAGATACATAGATCACCAACGACGAAGAAATCCGACCCGTCAACCGGATCATCGTGGAGTTGTGCTATATAGGAAAGCTACCAAGTGCGGCGGTGTGCCTCCACTGGCGAGTGTGTACGAACCATTCCGAAAACGTCAACCCCTGCCTCCCCTCGCGGCATAACTCTCCGCAATACTCCGCGCCCTCGTCAGGTTATTAGGTAGTAGAACCGCACTTCTCGGTGCATGATACTCCCTGACAGCGGTGGTTAATACGAAAGATTGTCGTAAATTGTGTCAATTCGTGTAGTCAGTCATCGTCGGTGCGGTGTGTCGTAAAACGTTGGTGGCCATCGTTGGAAGAAGGAAAGAAGAGCGTCGTGTGAATCGCATCGGTTCAAGCCTGTCGCGTGAAGTTGCTTGTGCGAACAAAGCGTATAAATTCAGTGTGCGCTGTTGAACGAACGTTTGGATCGTGCGAGCCGCAACCTAACATCACCACCACCACTACCATCGTTAAAGCGGGATCGAGTATCATACACGAAGGAAGTGTCTCGGGGGTGCGAAAATTTTGACGGCCACCACTTTCTCTGTTTTCCCTTTTCTCCGTGTCGGTGGTTAACCATTGTCGACCACGATTCCTCGCCTTAGTTTCCTTTTTCCCAATCTTGCGCGCGCTTTGCTCGCTCATAGCTCTTCCCTCCCATCTATCCCTCCACCTACTCCCTCCCGCCCTTCCACGCTTCTTCTTTCTCTCTCACTCTCTCCCTCTTTTCCCCCCCGTGTCGTACCGTCTCGCTCTCTTTCTCTCCCTCCATCCATCGATCGAGCGCGGCCGTGGCGTAATATAGAAGAACCGAACCGTGCGGACGTGCATGCGTGCGTGCGATGTAATTATCGTTCGCGCTGTCATTGATGTCCGAGGTGGTGTCAACGACGACGACGACGACGGCGACGGCGACGGCGACGGCGACGACGCGCTGCTGGCTATCTTCACGTGAGGAAGTGGCACGGCCAGCCGAGGCGGCGACCAGCGGAAGCAGAAGCGGCATATTCTAAAGCATAGTGTCAGGTGGCGGTGGCGAAGGGGGTCAAGAAGATTTCAGAATGAGCCTCCGACCAAGGACCACCTCCTTTGCCGATTGTACCAACGCGCCCTCGAATCCGCCCCTGGGTGGCATGAGAGTCAGCAGTGAGTACCGTAAGACATGCCTTAACCTCTAACATAGCGCTTTTACTCTGATCTCTCGCTCTTCTCCCCCTCCACTATTTTTCCCCGCTTCTTGCATGCCCCCCTTCACCCTCGTGTCTCCCACCCAACGATCCCTCTCCTTCCTCACTTGTTGCCCCTCTTACCGCGCTCTTTCTCTCGCCGCATCGCTTGCTCGCCTGTTCGTCTCCGAATGCAGAACTGTGCGTCTGCGTGCGAGTGCCTGGGTTACACTTGGGAAAGCGATGGAGCGGGTGCCCGAGGAAGAGGGTAGGGGGGATTCTTTTTACCGATGCTGTTTAGATCTTCTACATACCCTCGTAATTCTCGATTTTGGCGGCTTCTGCTGAATCCCATGTTTACGCGATACGCGTGCCGTGCTAGTGCTCCTCGCCTTTCGGCGGTTCTCCGCTCGTACAGTGTGAGAAGACGGTACCAACCGCGGGTGTCGTCCACGAGAACGCGATCGTTCTCGACCGATTCCGTCAGAAATCGCTGTTACGTATCATTTTCAACATCTTTATTGTGACGTTACATCGGAATTATCATTGAAAATTGTGCATAGAGTAGACGGTAAACATTGTATTCGGCTGATGCCGCTGCACGGGCAGATAGTTTTTCTTAACAATTTAGATGTTTCAACGTGATTGTACCTTTTTTGAATGCCATAGATAATAACTTGAAGTACAATTATTAAGTGACAAGTGAGATTTGCCCAACAGTCCTAACTTATGTTCAGTTTTTGGCATGTTGAAAATTATATGTGTTTATTGCATGATTGTGGATTTTACGTTATGAATCTTGAAGATTCTAAGAGGAATTGCTTATGAACATTTCACAGCAATGTTAGTCTCTGAATTTATATATCTACAAGGAAAAGCAGTGTTACTTTTTATCATAACACTGTAATTTTCCTGTTAATATCTACAAGGAAAAGTATTGTTACTTTTTATCATAACACTGTAATTTTCCTGTTAGTAATTCCTCAAGACTTAATTAAATTATGCAGGGTATAATATCTGAAAGAATAGATCATTTATGAGCTTAGAAACTAATTATAATTTTGTTGAATATCATATGATACATTATTTATGAATGAGTCATAGTTCTATTACTCAAAAATGTTAATAAGAGCAAACTGAATATGGTAGTAATACTTTACACCTCATAATGACGATGAAAATCTCAGGAAACGCAGTCTTTTTTCATATACAATTGAGTTGTGCAAGTATTGCTACCAAAATTAGGCTACACTTATATGACAATGATTTCTGAACATATAACTTTTGTCGATTGAAGGTTCATGCACTCTCTAATGATTTAAATGAATAATTAGTACAATTTTAGGGTACAGAATTAGGGTTTTTATGAAACATAGCGTGTACCTCTAGTCCCTCAAGTATTCACATATTTGTACGCACCATGGGTTCAATAATTTTTAAGTTTCTACAGTCACATTTGGGAGGTAATTAAAATACAACTGATATTATCATCAGTGATGTCTCCTTGCAGCTCAAAAGCTACTATTTATAAAGCTCCTGACCACCAGACATACTAATCTCTATTGGTACAGTTACTCACAGACCAAATTTCTTTGTTTTTCAAATGCAAACATGGAATTTCTTCCCTTATCTTCCTTTATAATTGTTTGAACAATGTGTCTCATGAAAGGAAGGCTAAAATCACCAACGTTTAACATTGAACAATGAACTAATCTACAAATATGCTGAAGTACGATATTTTTAAGAAACGTGGTACCTTCGGTGGTAGCATGGCGCTGAACAATCGAAGGTATCATCTGACCGATATTTGGGCTACGCCCTTCCAGTCCCTTTCGAAATTCAGGTATACCATCTATTCCCATAGTAACACGGGCAAAACGAATTTTCTTCCTCGGAATATCGATCTATACAAATTCGTCAAATCGGTCGCTAATCCTTTCCTTATCATTAAAATCTTAAATACTGATTATCAGTATTTTTCCAGAAAGTGATTCATTGACGTAAATATTTTTGCTAACGTTATTAATTTTCTTCTGTTAAAATCAGGGAATAATTATATTTGCTAAGTAACGATCATTCTACGTACGTCATTAACATTGTCGTTTAATATGCTATTGATATTGTTCAATGCCGCACTCGAAAAAGAAACGTTTGACAATGAGGAGGATGGTTGCCAAAGTCGTATCCGCTCACATTATTCGTGCCTAATCAATTTCTTTCGTACTATTGAACACGAAAGACTTCTAATGATGAATACATAGATTAAATAAACATTGATAAATATAGAGCAAAGATTTTAAGATTTTCATCTCGCGTTGGATCAGTCTGTAATTTAATTTTGCTTCCTCCCTGATGGAGTAGACATTATATCGAATTTGTAACTTTTAAAGGAAGAAAGTTTTTAAACACCTTTAGACTAGAATCTTTTACGTTATAAAAAGTTTTATAATAAGGAAAAGAAGCGCCATTAACGAGCGTAGAAACTAATATTAAATGGGAGATAGCATAAGTCATTAAACAAGAGATATATCATAAAATTTTACAAAAAAGCTTCATTGCACTCTCCAATATTAACTCGCTTAATTTCATAACAGAAATACAACAGAGCATTGTAAAAAAGCTTTATTGCAATCTCTAATATTAACTCGCGCTGAAAGCATAGATGTGATATTATAAAAAAAGCTGGATAACAATACTGAACGAGAAAGGCAACAGGAAATAGCTCGCGTGAAAATTAATATTAACCGAGAAATATAACATAAAATATATAAACTGGTACGATTTTGGCAACTCTCTAATTTTTAAAACAGTCCATCAACTATATACCTTGATGCGCGCATCTAGATGACCGAAATAACGAGCTTTCGTTCGAGTTCGTGTCAATCGCCGTGGTTGATATCGATATCGGGCATCTCTTTTGTGCATCGAGTATTTTTGGCGAACAAATACTCGTCGCTAGTCTCCGCGCGCGTTCGACCGGATCGTTCGCGTAATTCTTCATTATGGTTCGACGATTTTTAATTTTAACTCGGCTGCCTTAACAATGTTGCAAACGCAACGCGGGGCTCTTAACAAAGGGAAAATCAGTTTCGATCCTTCTCGTCTGGATATAGCTTTGTTATCTAATCAATTTACATGATTGCAAAATGAAACGACCGCCGCGCGAATCATCGTTGTCGTGTACCGTTTATACCACGGATTATAATCAATCATCGTTGCTATTAATTTTATATTATTTTTCTGCACTTGAATTTAATCGACGAGGTATTTTTTTGTTTGGATATGATTGTTAAAATTAATCTCTGGATGATAAATTAACAATGGGTGGAAAAATTTTTCAAAGGATAGTAGCGGAAAAAATTATATAAATTGAAAATAGAAAGTTCCATCGGGCGTAGGTCGGATACCTTCCACTTTCCAGGTATAACCATTATACGATTACATCATAGTTGGTGTTCAATGCTGCCTTTATTAGTCATACGATGGATACATATTATTATATACTTCCTTTCACAATCGTTGTCGGAAGACACTGGCGAACAATCCTTGTCGCAACTTATCACGTAATCGTTGACTTGTCTATAGATCCTTTGTTGTAAACCGTCTAAGGCAACGATCTACTGATAGCTTTGCTGACGAGAGCACAGGATAAACCTGTCCCCCTTTTTTCTTTCCCTCTTTCGTCATCCATCTTGTTCCAATCTCTTGTAACCTTGAAAGCAGTGATAATGACGCGTAGCTGGGGAGAGATAGCAGATGTGACGATCCCCGTGAGATGGAAGGTCTCTTTCGAACGGGAAGGTGTGAAACGTTAAAAGAAAAAAAAAATAATTATATGCAGTTCGTTTCCTCAGGGTTGATCTGAGAATTTTTTTAGGGGTGGTTGTTGGAAATATGGATTCACCATTTTCGTGGTAGTTTCTTTAGGAAATGAATTCTTAATTAAAATCAGAATTTAATTAATCATAGAAATATTCCTGGTGTCCTAAATGGTGTTACGGTGGTCGTCGTTATTATTATGAGAAAAACATCCCCAGTTTCAACATGGAAACTTCAAGCAACCCTAAAATAAGCCTCCAGTTTAGCTTCAGAATGATTTTTCCCCCATCTGAAGGCATTCCGCTATGGATCGACCCAGTTCCGCCTCTTTCTTCCGTTTCAAAAAACCCTGTCTCTCCCTCGCGGACTCGTCGGTTATCTTTTCTCCCAATGACGACACGTTTCACGTTGAAACTTTGTACACGCAGCGAGAAGGTCGATCGTGTTACCGACTCACGTGTCCCTTTCATCTGGGTCAATATGCCCCCATGGTATTAAACCGTTCGCGACACGCGAGTTTCGCAATCGCGAATTTCCTCGTACTCTCGACCCTGCGTAAGTGAGTTTCTTCTCTCGCGATCAACCAAGTTGATTAACCCTTTACGACTCTTCGCACTGCTCGGAATAAATTGTTACAGTTTCCAAGCGTAGGTGGTCTTAAAAGTTTAAGAAAAGATGATTCGGTTATAATTTAGCGCCTTTTTCTGCTAGAAACCGCTTTTGTACGTTTGTATCTCAAATTCCTCCATAACTGCCTTCAGATTTGCTATCAAAATACTTTAATTTTATTCTATTACTTTGTATTAAATTTTTAATAGTACTGGGAAGGCCAGAAAATATCCTGAAACTTGTGATTTTTCATTTAGACGCGCTTGGATTTAAACCTTCATAACTTCTACAATTTTTAAATTTTTGGGGGTCTTTTTTCATCTATTTATTTTAGAAGAATCATAGTTTAATTTGAAAAGCAGATCTGAGACATAGGAATGTCTCGTTAAATTTGATGAACATATTTCTCTGCGGAACTCGTGGTGCAGCTCGTTAAATAATAATTAGCCCGGTCGGGGAACGCGATAACTGATCGATAATTTTGCCGGCCGTTGTTCGACGAGAATAACGACGTCCGATTGGATTTATAAATAATCACGCGTGATGGTCGAT